GTCCCTGTTCTTGTGCCAGTCCCAAGCTGTTTTAATGACTATAGCCTTGTAGTATAGTTTGAAGTCTGGTAAATTGATACCTCCTATTTTGTTTTTATTGCCTAGGATTGCTTTTGCTATATGGGGTCTTCTCTGGTTCTATACGAAGCATAAAATTATTTTTTCTATATCTGTGAAAAATGATGATGGTATTTTGATAGGGATTGCGTTGACTCTGTAGGTCACTTTGGGTTGTATAGACATTTAAAAAATGTTGATTCTGCTGACTCATGAGCATGGTATATTCTTCCATCTGTTTATGTCCCTGCTATTTCCTTCTTCAGTGTTTCATAGTTCTCCCTGTAGAGGTCTTTTACCTCCTTAGTTAAATATATATTCCAAGGTACTATATTTTCTTTGTTGCTATTTTGAAGGAAATTGAGTCTTGATTTGGTTCTCACTTGTAGTGTTGTTGGTGTATATGAATGCCTCTGATTTCTGTGTATTGATGTTGTATCCTGAGACTTTACCAAATTCATTTATCAGATCAAGGAGTCTCTTGGTTGAATCCTTGGGGTTTTCTAGGTATAATATCATGTCATCAGCAAAGAGTGAGAGTTTGATCTCTTCTGCTCCCATTTGGACGCCCTTAATTCCGCTCTCTTGTCTGATAGCTGTAGCGAGGACTTCCAGCACTATGTTGAACAGAAATGGAGATAGTGGGCAACCTTGTCTTGTTCCAGTTCTAAGTGGGAATGTTTTCAATTTTTCCTCATTCAGTATGATGTTGGTTGTGGGTTTGTCATATATGGCTTGTAACATTTTTAGGTAAGCCCTGTCTATGCCTATTTTGTTGAGCATTCTTATCATGAAAAGGTGTTGAATTTTGTCAAATGCTTTCTCTGCATCTATTGAGAGGATCATATGGTCTTTGTTTTTGCTTCTGTTTATATGGTGAATTACATTTATAGATTTGCATATGTTGAACCATCCCTGCATCCCTGGGATGAAGCCCACTTGGTTGTGATGAATTATTTTCTTGATAAGCACTTGGATTCGATTGGATAGGATTTTGTTGAGAATTTTTCCATCTATATTCATAAGGGATATTGGTCTGTAGTTTTCTTTTTTTGTTGCATCCTTTCCTGGTTTTGGTATCAGGATTTATGTTTGCTTCATAAAATGTGTTGGGGAGGATTCCATCCTTCTCGATGTTGTGGAATAATTTCTGCAGGATAGGCACAAATTCTTCTTTGTAGGTATGGTAAAATTTGGGTGTGAAACCATCTGGTCCAGGACTTTTCTTTTTAGGAAGGTTTTTTATTGCTGTTTCACTTTCAGTACTTGATATTGGTCTATTCAGGAATTCTATTTCTTCCTGGTTGAGCCTAGGGAGGCTGTGTGTTTCTAAAAATTGTCCATTTCCTCCACATTTTCCAGTTTGTGTGCATAGAAGTTTTTGTAGTATTCATAAATTATATCTTGTATCTCCATGGTGTCAGTTGTAATTTCTCCTTTATTGTTCCTGATGGAGCTTATTAGAAATTTTTATTTTCTGCTTTTCATTAGTCTAGCCAATGGTGTGTCAATTTTGTTTATTTTTTCAAAGAACCAATTTTTTGTTTTATTAATCTTCTGTATAGATTCCCTGTTGTCAATTTCGTTTAGTTCTGATTTGATCTTAATGATTTTACTTCTTCTGCTGGGTTTGGGGTTGGTCTGTTCTTCTTTTTCCAGCTCTTTGAGATGATTCATTAGGTTGTCTATTTGTGATCTTTTCGACTTTTGGATATAGGCATTTATGGAAATAAACTTTTCTCTCAGGACTGCTTTAGTTGTGTCCCACAGGTTTTGGTAACTTGTGTCACCTTTGTCATTTAGTTCAAAGAATCTTTTGATTTCCATCTTGATTTCCTCATTTATCAAGTGATCATTCAGCAGAAGGTTGTTTAGTTTCCATGACTATGTGTAGAAATGAGGACTCCTGTTAGGATTTATTTCTACATTTATTCCATTGTGGTCTGAAAGGATACATGGTATAATTTCTAGTTTTTAAAATTGTTTGAGACATGCTTTGTGTCCTAGGGTATGGTCAATCTGAGAGAATGACCCATGAGCTGATGAGAAGAACGTATATTCAGTGGTTTGGGGGTAGAATGTCCTGTAAATGTCAGTCAGGCCCATTTGTTCTAGGGTTTTGTTTAAGCCCATTATTTCTCTGTTGATTTTCTGTTTGGAGGATCTGTCCTGTGCTGTCAGTGGGGTGGTAAAGTCTCCAACTATTATGGTGTTGTTGTTTATCCATTTGTTTAGATCAAGTAGAGTTTGATTTATGAATCTGGGTGCACCAAGGTTGGGTGCATATATATTTAGAATTGTTATGTCTTCTTGTTGAACTGTACCCTTCCCATTATATAGTGACCTTCTTTGTCTTTTATTACTTTTAATGATTTAAAAAATAAGTTATCTGTAATCAGCACCACCATGCTAGCTTTCCTTTGGCTTCTGTTTGCTTGAAATATCATTTTCCACCCCTTTACCTTTAGTCTAATTGCATCCTTGCAGGTTAGATGTGTTTCCTGAAGGCAGCAGATACTTGGCTTATGTTTTTTTATCCATTTGGCCAGCCTATGTCTCTTGAGTGGGGAGTTCAAGCCATTCACATTTATTGAGATAACTGATAGGTGGGGCAGATTTCTGTTCATTATGTTGGGTTGGACTTTGTTACTTTGTTTCCTCTCTTGAGCCATTGTGGTATCTGGGCTTTGATCTTTAGCTCTGAGTAGATTTACATTCGTGAGTGTTTATTGTGCTGATCCGTGGGTAACACTGTTTTAAGTACTTCTTGAAGGGCTGGTCTTGTCTTGGTGAATTCCCTCAGTATTTGCTTGTATGAAAATGTCTTGATTTCTCCTTCATATACAAAACTTAGTTTTGCAGGGAATAAGATTCTAGGCTGGGCATTGTTCTGTTTCAGAAGAGTGGGAATGGGGCCCCAGTCTCTCCTTGCTTGTAAAGTCTCAGTAGAGAAGTCTGGTGTTATTCGGATTGGCTTTCCTTTGTATGTTACTTGCTTCTTTCATCTTACAGCTCTTAGAAGGGCCTCTTTAGTTGATATTTTGGTCAGTCTGATAACTGCATGTCATGACGTCTTCCTGTTTGCATTGAATCTCCCAGGGGTCCTCTCAGCTTCTTGAACTTGTATCTGGAGATATTTTAGCAATGCCTGGGATATTTTCCTCTATTATATCTTCAAATAGCTTGTCCAACCCTTGAGTGTTGTCTTCTTCCCCTTCTGGTAACCCTATGACCCTCACATTAGGTTTCTTCACATAATCCCACATCTCTTGTAGGCTTTGCTCTTTTCTCTTGTTTCTCTGTTCTATCTCTGTGACTGATTTATTTAATTGGAAGGTGTTATCTTCAATCTCTGATAGTCTTTCTTCTCTTTGATCTATCCAGTTCTTGAGGTTTTGCACTGTATTGATTCTTCATTTCCAGGAGTTCGGTTAAACTTTTCTTCATTGTGTCGATCTCTTTAGTGAACTTTTTTCCAGGTCCTGGAGGGTTTTTGTGATTTCTTTGTGTTGATTATTGGGTTGTTCTTGCAGGTCATTGAGTTTTCTTATGATCCACATACAAAATTCCTCTTCTGTCATTTGGTTGCCTGATTTTGGTTGGTGTCCATTTCTAGGGGGCTGGTGCTCCTCTTTGGGGGTGTGTTTTCCGTTTGGTTCTTCATATTTCCTGAGTTCCTTCGCTGATTTCTTCCCATGTTGATCAGTTGTTTTCTTTCCTTTAGGTTTTTGTTTGGGTATTCACATGCCTTGTTTAGTTTCTGAGCCAGTAGGTAGTGTCTGTGGGTGAGATTCGACCACTCCCTGTATGATGAGTCAGTAGGTGCCATGAAATGGGTGTGCAGAATGTCCTCCCTGTCAGTAGGTGGCGCTTGCTTGGAGGAACAAGCTACGCTGTTGTTTTTGTGTCCTGTAACCAGCTCTTGTTCCTCTAGAGAGGCACTCTAGTGCTTCAGGTGGTCTGTGGGGCCCTGGGACTTCCAGGTGTGTCCTTTTCTCCCCCTCAGTGAGGGCTGGTCTAGGAGAGAGTCTGGGAAGAGCTAAGTTGAGTAAGCCTGCCCTCAGGCACCACCAATGTCCTTAGCAGGGGTCAAAGTTCTGTTTTCTGCTTCCAGGAAAAGCTGCCAGGGAGGGGCTGGAATGGTCCCACTCAGTCAGAGTCTGCGTGTGGGGTGGGGCTATCTGAGACCCACAATCTGGAGCGGGCCTGGCTTCTTTCCACCCTCCCCAACTCCACAGCTACTCCTGGGCCTCTGCCAGCAGGCCAGACCACGTGCCACCAGGCCTCCCTGGACTGTGATGTCGTCAGGGAGGTTCCCTGTGCAGGAACGCCACCTGGGCTGGGCGCACGGCCTCCCTTTGGGGGGAGGGTTGCCCTCTAGGATGCTGATCTGCCCCTGAAGGCACACACACCGCAGTAGGCTGTTCACGTATATCCCTTCTGTGCCTCAGGCAATGCGAGACCTCGGTGCACGGGATCTGGTCTGCAGGTCTCACCTCTGGGCCCCAGAGTTCAAGTTATATCCCCACTAGGGAGATGAGTGCCAGTCCCAATTCACCCACAGGGAGCCCAAGCTGGGTCTATGTCTCTCAGCCTCAGGGTCTGCCCCATTCTCCTGGGATCACCATGCCAGCAGCACCTGGGAGGGCTGGCGGGTAGGGAGCTCACAGTCTGAGTTCCCCTTAGTCAGCTGTATGGCCCCAAAAGGTAAGGGAGGTGCCCCACCTCCATTCCCTGGAGGTGCCTCCGGCTGGTGGCTATATTGTTTTTCTTGGCAGCCGCGGGTAGGGTCGGGGGAGGGGAGAATGAGGCAATATGGCGCCTGCCGCGCGGCTCGGGTCTGTGCACAGGGAGATGCCCTGCGGCAGTTGGGAGTCTGGTGCCGCGTCCGCTACAGGCTAACCGCTCACTGGCTGTGGCCGTCCCTGGGCTGGTGTCCGCAGGTCTCTCCACCGGCTGGGGAGCCCACCAGCAGTCCGAGATGCAAGGGGAGGAAAGTTAAGCTCACCACCTACCCTTGCCGCTGGTCTCCAGGCTGCTCCGGCGGTCTCAGCTTCCAGTTCTCCTCTGCAACCTCCTGCCGTGAAGTCTCCCATGGACTCAGGTACCCTTCTTCCGACCCTTGTCCGATGTATGCTCATCTTCTTGCTTCTTTCTTCTAATTTCTGCTAGAATCTGTCTTTTCTGCAGAGACACTCTGTCTGGCGGTGTTTCTCGTCTGCCATCTTGATTCCTCTTGCAGATCTGGTCTTGTTTCCTGGCTGGGTTCACAGACCTTCGGAGGCTTCTGGAGCTTTAAGCCTCAGCTGTCCCCATCACATCACATGCTCGCTGAACTTAGCCACCTTGTTTCAGCCTCAAAACGACACACTCTGCTACCTGAGGGTGTTCGTCCAGGCCACCCATCTGCCTGGAAGGCTCCCCCTATTTCCCTGCCAGTGAATTCCTCTTTCTCCTTCCCGCCTGTACTCCAAGATCGTTCTCTCCAGAGCCTTCCCCGAACCCCATCCCTGTCACTCCCGTTGTTCATGGCCATCCCTATTTGTGTCGGGGGTGCCTGCCTGTCACCACTGTCATGACCCGAGTGCTTCAGTGGCTGTTCCTTCACGCAGTGGTGGCCATGTGAGCAGCCACACGCCATCTCAGCCACAGCCATGTCCTGAGCCTCATGCCTGGTGCGCAGCATGCGCTCAGGAAAGACCTGAGGGAGGCTGTAGCAGGAAGGAGGCCTCAAAGGATGAGGCTGAGCAGAAGAGCAGGGACAGGGAACCAGTGGAGGTGGACACTTGGTGCTGGGTGAGGGTGGGTAGTGGCCCAGGGTCTTTGTGCACCCATGGTGGGAGCAGGGTCCCCATCTCCTTCTGCCCCCTCCCTGCCCCCACGGCCAGGCCTGGTGGGAGACGAGAGCTTCCCACCGCGGACTCACGGCGTCCGAGCCCTCCCCCACGCCAGTGGCTTTGGTAATTGTTCTCACAAGCATGTCAGTATCGAACAAACAGATGTTTATAGTTAATCCCTAATTTTGCCATCAAAAAATATACAATCTTGGGTAGAAACCTAAGAGGAAAGAATTTTTTAATTTACAGTGTCTCCCCACTGCCCCACTCCTGAAATTTGAAATTGCTGAACAGCCTCCAAATTCAATATTCCAAGTCAAACAAATGTATGTGTTCTCCAAAAGGAAGTATTGGATATCTGACCAACATGGAGTGGGCTGAGAAAATCAGAAGAGGGAAAAGCCGCCCGCCCAGCGGGTCCGACACACAAGCTACTTCCAAGAATGCCTCTTTTCCAGTGTTTGCTCATTCTTTTTTCTGCTCATTTTTTAATGAAAAAAATGCCTCTGTGAGTCGGCCTTCCTTGGAGGAGCTGGCCGCGGTTCTCAGGCAACGGTCAGATGCAGCAGCCGCCTTCCCGGCTTGTTAGTGTCCAACCCCACAGGTGCGGGCCACACCTGGTGGGCAGCCAGTGCCCTTGTGGGAAGAAGGACATTGGTGACAAGTGCTGTGGGCGGGTCTGTGGGAGGAGCCCGGCTTCACGGGTGTCCAGAAGGCTTCCTGGAGAGGGGCGCACGGTGTGGGCAGGAGGTCTCTTGGCAGAGCCAGCGGGAGCTGGGAGGGCCGGCAGAAGACGCCGAGGCCTGGTGTCCCCAGGCCGGGCTACCGAGGGCGTGCTTGCAGGTGAGGTGGCAGCGGCCACAGGCGAAGGGCCTGGAATGCCGGCACTCAGCAGTGACTGCGTGAGGAGCAGGAGGCTCTGAGGCACATGCGGGCGCAGGAACGGACACGTCCGGGAGTGTGCTGAGGGACTTGGGGCCGCGCTCTAGAACGCCAGCTCAGGTGTCTGCCCTCCCTGGATCCTGCTCCACCTGCGCAGCTGCAAGTCACCCCACCCTGCCTCTCCTCCTCAGGTGGAGAGTAAGGGGCCCCGCCTGCCCCTTCTCCAGCCGCCTTGAATGGGCGGGGTCCCCTCTGTGCCCTTCCTTCTCCCTCCACTCCAGCGTGTCTCTGCCACCGTCTCAGGCTCAGCCCATCCTGGCTGGCGTCACCACGGCTTCTGACCTTGGACTGCTGAAGGCCAGTCTTGGGGATGGCAGGGCTCATCCTCACAGCAAGGCTTGGAGAAGCCGGGATGGCCTCCATTTTGCAGATGGTGAGGTTGAAATTAAGTGACCTGACACATTAGCCCAGACTGTTGTTTGCTAGTGACAGAAATCAACCTGAACTGGGTTAAACGTAGAAGAGCCCAGTCGCTCAGGCAGATCTAGGGAGGGAAGAGATGCCTCCCCCAACCCCCCCAACCCCCGTGCTGGTGCCAGCCCTGATGGGGGCGCTCCCGGGCTGTCGGCAGCCTCAAGGGAAAGAAACTCTTTTTCCAAGAGCCCAAGCAAAGGCCAATGAGCTCTGACTAGCGCTTTGTGCTTGTCACCGTGGCTGTCCAGGTGGCCAGCAAGGGCGGGGCTGGGCCCACCTGGTCAGGGCTGGGCACCCCAGGGCTTGGATAGCCCCTCACAACTGCATAGTCTGAGAGTGGAGGTTCCCCAAGGAAAACCCGTGGCTGCACTGACGGAGGGGAGATTCCCAACAGCCGCTCAAGCTCGAATCCGAGCTCTAGTTGGGGCATAACCGTATTCATACAAATATAAATTTGTTTAACACATCTTTTTTGAATGTCATGACAAGCCCTAAGCAAGTATAGCCTGACCCTGCAGGGCTTGCAACTAGGGGTCATTCCCATGAGGCGGCAGCACCTGGATTTGCAAACCCTGCTCCGTGCTGAGACCCCCTCACACGCTGGGGTCTCATGCCATCATCCTCTTGGCTCTGGGGCCTGGCCCTATTCATGTTCCAAGAGTGGACACATACGCTTCTCTGTGACCACGTGGCCCAGTTTAGAAAAGAACAGAACACTTAAACAAGGCTTTACAAAAGGCTGGAGTAGCACTAAGCCAATAGAAGTTTCTCTGATGATGAACATGGCTGCTGCTACGGACCCACCTCCCGTGGCTCCGACCTTCATGTCCAGTGCAGGAAGGCCCGCCACGAGCCAGGCATCAGGGAGGGGTCTGCCCCCGGCCAGCTGCCGCGCCGCAGGGCTGTGTGAGCAAGTGTCAACGCGGTCATTATGAAACTAAATAAATATATGCTAAGTTTTAGAAACAAAGAGCGACTATGCTGGCGGTGCCGTGCTCTCGCGGCCATGTGGCGAGTGCATCTGTGTGGGAAGTGCCACGCATAGGCGGCTCCCAGCATCTCTTCCCAGCGCCGCGCCCAGTGACCACGTGTTAGTAGTTTGAAACCGGCTGTGGATGCCATGGAGAGCTGTAAATGCTACAAATCAAGGCTCAATTTATCGTTTTATAGGTTGCCTAAATGAAGGGTCAGCAAACTTTTTCATAAGGGGTCATATTCTAGGCTTTGCAGCCAACATACGGTGGCAGGTGCTCCTGCTCCGCCCCCCCCTTCTTCCTTTTCTCCTTCTTCTATGGCCCTTTGCAAGAGTTAAACCTGTTCTTAACTCGCAGGCCATAGACTGAATTTCATCTGAGAGCCTTAGTTGACTGATCTGTGGTCTGAATTAAAGAAAGCGATGGAGAAAACGTTAGCAATGCAGATTCCAGTTACAGGTGCGCAGATCTGTAGGCATGGCACCGTGGAGAGCACACAGACAGAGGCGACGTCCTTCCAGCATTGGACTCAGCAAAGAAGCCATTCAGGTCACTGATCTCAAGTGAAGTTTTAATGCAGACCTCTGTTGTTCTGTGTTCCTAGTGCTCAGGTACAGAGCTCTGTCGGAACTCTGCTTGGAGTGCAGGCGGTGCACCGTTGGCTGGCCCTCTGCTAGTCACCACCTGTCACTTGCTGTGCACTGGGGCTCTCTGAGGTTGCTCTCACCATTCAGGTTAGTAGAGGGGGAAAGTGAGGCTCAGAGATGTGATTGCTCCAGGCCATATAGGAGCTGGTGAGCAGGCAGGGGCTGGCACTGTCATTGTGACCCAAGCCCACCACTGCCCACCGCAGCTTCTGATCCAGTGACCGCAGGCTGGATGTCAGGTGCAAGCTGTATCTGCTGCATTTCTGAGGCTTCCGTAATAGGAGTCAGAGTTTGAGACCTGAGATTGATGACGGGACTTGATGCCATGCTCAGGGGGTCTCTGTGTTGTTCTGCAGGGGGCATGTGGTCACACTTTCTATCCAGAATGATCACTGCGTAGAGAGTGGGCTGGAAGCGGTAAGGGCCGGGGAAGGTGACCACGAGAGCTTATACTCAAGTTCCAGAGAGGGTGGGGATGGGGAAGAAAGGGAGGCTTACAGGGGAGAAGAGGGAGGGCTGCCAGGGGGAGGAATGTCCCTAGGCTGATGGGAACCGCCAGGTCAGGCCCTTCCACACACTGCCCCCAGGCTCTACCCTCACTCGGCTGCCCCAGGGGCTGCCAGTGCTGGGCGGGCTTGACTGGACAGGATGTGGGGGAGCCCTGCACTGAGTGAGCATCAGTGGCCCCTAAAGTCCTCTTGTTGGCACCCCCGGTGCAGGGTACATGTGGTTCAGGGGATGGGGGCACAGGGGCACCTTGCATGTAAGTGCACAGGGACCGTCCCTCTATGCCCTGTCTCTGGCACAGGCCCAGGAGCCGAGTAGGGCCAGATGGTCATCCAAGTCTAGGTCATGCTCCTCATGCTCCAAGACAGGCCAAGGGCCATCCTAAGGCCTCTGCAGAAACTGCCAGGTCTCTATCGGAAGTCCCTTCTCCTTCTCTCAGGGGACAAACTCAGGGCCAGCACGCAGCCCCGCGCACTGGCTATGTGGCTATGTGGTTAGCCAAAGCAATGAGGCCACTGCTCGGCGCAGCTGGGTCTCCCTGGGCAGCTCCCTTGCTGGCAGTCTGGGTGGCGCTGCTTGCACACGTGGACAGCGAGCCCACCGGGGACAGCCCAGCCCCTCGGGGGAAGCAGCACCAGCACCTGGATGTGGAGCAGA